AAATTTTTGAACAGGAATTTTTAATTTTTTTATAGCACAGTAAAATATATTGAGTAATAGTAGAGATTGTTTTTTGTATATACCAGTAGTTCTCCAAGCCAGTGATATAAACAAAGTTGAAGTAAGAATTTGTATTTAGAAATAAAATAAAGTCTTCCAAGTTAAGAACATAAATATTTAAAAATATTTGTATATAAATAAAAGAAGTTTTAATAAAAAATATAAATGAAAAAAACTCCAAGGAAAACTTGTAAAAAAGCAACTGCCATAAGTTTTTCCTCATGCAATTTAAGAAAAAAGCAAGTTTCCCAAGCTTGCTTACTCCTAACCAGAGGTCCTATCTTGATACATCAATATGTTTTTTTAGTTTCTTGAGGTTTTTGATAGTGAAAGTTAAAGAAATGTAGAAAACTTGTGGATATTGAAAAGTAAAAGAAATATATTTTTTTTTAATTTTGAAAAGTTACTATATAAAAAATTTTTTTAAAAAAATGTTATATATAGAAAAAAGTTTTTTTGTATTGAAATAGTTTTACTCAATTTTTTCAATTTATTTTTTAAGTAGAATAATATATTAATATTATAAAAAAACAGTTTCTTATATTTCATTAAAGAAAAAAATACTTTTTTTTAAAACAATATATAAATACTTTATCAAAATTCACAATAACTATTTATTATTAATATATAAAAATATAATATTCTTAAAGATCTCAACTTTATATATTTTTTAAGTAATAACACTATATACAGTATATAGCATAAATTATTTGTTATTAACTTATAAGAAAAAAATTTTATAAAATCTATTACAAGATATTACCAAAGTATATAATACAATTAGCTTAGAAATATTAAAAAAAGCATTTCAAAGAATTAATATTCTTAAAAAAATTATTAAACTTATTCTGAATTTTTTTAAACAAAATAAAATTAAAGTTATTGTTAATAAGGAACTTATTAGAGAAGTTATATTAGGAAATATTCAGCAAAATATATTGTTTTAAATTTTCTTTTCAATATTAGTCATATGGTTACTATAGGTAAGTTAGCATTTAACTCATTGTACCAACATATGAGAGATGTTGTTTCTTTTACAATGTATATCCTCCTATATACAAATCAAATAAAGAAATGATGTTTACCTACAAAAAAAAAAAATTATATTAGGAAATAATATAGATCAAGAAAAAATAATTTCTTTATTTTTTTGAGAATCTTTTATAATTCCTATTATATGAAATTAAAAAAATAAAATATTAAATTATATAATAAATAATTTTTGAATATCAGATCTTAATAAACTATTAAATAATTCAAATATATCAATAAATTTATTATTAAAGCAAATAACAATTGTTTATATGAATAATATAATATAGATAACCAGATTTTAAACAAATATGAAACATATTCTTAAAAGAATTAAATAATTTTATATAATAAATAAATTTTAAATTAATAATAACAAATAAATCCTTATTACTATAAATAATAATAATAAAAATCTTAATATAATCTATTTGAAAATCAAACAAAAAGAAATTTAGGAACTTAATTATAGAGACTACTTAAAATTTTTAAATATATTGCTAGATAATAAAGATCAAACAAAAAATATTATAAATTGAATTTAACAAAAAGTTTAGGAAATTTTATCAAATCTAAAAAAAAAACCAATTATAAACAAACATATAAAATATATTATTAATATAAAGTTCTTATTTTCAAAATAGAATATAAAATACAATATAGTTTAATTAATTTCTAAATGGTTAATTGTTTTTCAGTTCAATTGAAAAAATATTAAAACAAGTAACTTATATAATAGAAATAATTTTTAATTTTATTATATATCATAAACTTTTTTATAAAATCAAAAGTATTTGAAAAATATAACTCAAAATTAAATTATTAACTTTGTAAATTGACTAAACAACTATAATACTTAAATAAATCCATAATAATTAGATTCAAATAAGTATAAATACAATATTGAAAATCCAAAAATCTTTTTATTAAATATATTTTTAACAATAATTACAAAAAGAATCTTATAGTACAAATACTTAAAACAATAAACAAAATATAAATTATATTTTCAAATTTTTAATAAACAAATATATTTCAATAGAAAAAAAAATATATAATAATCAAAACTTTATTAAATAATTTTTTTCTTTAAAGTAAAACATTTAAATTCTTAAGAAAACATAATATTATATTTATTGATCAGTTAATAGATAAAGAGTATAATATATTCTTAAATTGAAAAATTATATAATTTTTAAAAAATAAAGAACAAGAATTCAATATTTTCATTAAATTTATAAATTTTAAAATTATTAACTATTTTATATTTTATAATTTTAATTTTTTAAATATTTTTTTTTATTTTTTTATTTTTAATTTTTTTTATAAAAAAGATTTATTATATTGATTTTATATAATATTATTTTTAATTATTTGATAATTAATTAAAACAAAAATTATATAAATATTTTTTATTTAAAAAAAAATTTTTTTTTAATTTATAAATAATATAGAAATTATATAAGTTTTAAATAATATTAAAACTATACATAATTTTATTTATACAAAATATAAATTTGATATTTTATTTAATTATTAATTTATAGTAAATCTTAATTTAAAAATAATTGTTTTAATTTTAACAATAAATAATTTTTTACTATTTTAAAAAATTCAAAAATTTATTTATTTATTATATATACCATATATAATTTATAAAAATAATTTATAAGTTATAATTTTAATTATTAAGATAAACAATATATTTATTTTTATAAATTATATTTAAAGCTTAATTGAGAAAAAAAAAAAGTTATATTTTATATGTTATACTGGTTTTAAATTATGATTAATAAGTTTATATTCTAAAAATTTTTGATTTATTTTAAAATTATTAATTATATAAGAATATTTTTAATTTTAATTATATTTCAAAAAAAACATTTAAATAAATATTGTAGAAAATATCATATTTTTTGATTTAAAATTTATTTCATTATTAGAAATCTAATATTATAATGCAAATTATTTAATAACTCATAATTTTAATAAATAGTTGTTATTTTTTAAGCAGACATATTATTTAAATTTTGATTTGGAGACTAGAGACATTATTTGTTGGCAGTTTTTTTTAAAAAAGATAAATTTCACTATTGTAATTTGAGTGCATTTATATGTAAAACTCAATCGACAAATTCGTTCGATTGTTTTTTCCTCTAACTTTATATAACGTAATTTAAAGAAGAAAAATGTTAATTCACTCACCTTTAATGACCTGCATGGAATTAAAATCTCTAAATAATAAGGGTGCATTTATGAGATGTTTTCGAATGCATGAACTACACATACAGAAAAAGAATTGGACTAAATGTTTTCGCTAAAGGGGAATAACATTTGAATAAGCACGAAATTTTAACGAGTTTAGTTGGTAGTTGTTATAGAGGCAAAATGGTTATCTTTCATTGGATAACCAGATGTCAAACTCTGGCAAATCGGATAAACACAGATTGACACAGGGGACCAATGTTACGTGACACATGTTATAAAAAGCATCTTATATTTTTTTTGACATTTATGCATGCACAATCTAGAATGGCGGATCATTGATCTTATTGCAGAAAATCGCTTCCTTTTTTGTGGTTTTAATGTAGGACTAGTCGGAGATTGAGCGCGGTGACAACACCTAACTCTTGTATTATTTAATTTACTCTATCAATATTACGAAATAAAAATCCAAACATTAATGTAGGACTAGTCGGAGATTGAGAGATACAATTGCGGAAATATTCCCGGCGACAATAACCTAACTCTTGTATTATTTTACTCTGTACCAATATTACGAGATAAAAATCCAAACATTATCTAATCATAATTACGTACTATGCTAAAATAGGCATTATTTCTTGAAAACCCATTGGGTAATTACTACTCATATCGTCTACGGGGAAATTGAATGAAAAAATGAGAAATGGCAATTAGAACCACAACCTTATTTTTTTGGATGGGTAGATCTGTTTAGAAAGGGAAAGAGTTTCCTCATATCGAGAAATTTTAAAAAAAAATCGACAAATTAAAAAATAACGTTCTTACGTAATAAAAGGTACATGTTAGAAAGCATACTTGGGTTATGTTCTTTATTAGCGTCAGATCTCCATTATTCTAAATTTCCAAATCTGTAAATAATTTAATTCTGGAGTAAAAAACGGAAAATGCTTGACTGTGAGCTGCGTCTAATATTAGTAAATATTACGCAAAGAAGTTAAAATGCGAAAGATACGATGAATGGAATGACAAACCACTTCACATGTGTTTCAAAGGTTCAAAAAAATAAAGATCATTTATTTGCATAATGCCGATGTTTGTCTGTATTTGTCATTCTCACTGATGACTAATCGATTAGTTCCATTTCGTTATTTTCTCACGTACTTTTTATACAAGTGAAGGGAAGCAAAAGCAATCGCGTATGTTTACGGTTCACATTCACATAAAGGTACAGACAAGAAAAGAAATCCTTGCTCATGTATCTGTTATTACGTAACATAGGAATTACTTATGTAATCTGTTGTTATTATCTACAAAAAAAGGGTATAATGTTTAAAAAGTGTACTCGGCTAAATTTCTGGTTGGAAAGAATAGCACACGTTTTATTTAATGTGGTGTGGGATTATGTAAAAAGCTTAACGCGATGAACAGTACAGTATATTATGTAATATCGTTAAACCAATAAAAATTCAATCAAGGTGAATTCATGCGTTTAATTTGTTTGTCACAGGAGTTTTAATTCAACAATTATTGATACACTGTAAATAGAGTGTCCACATAAAAAACTACATAAATAAAATGACAAATGAAGAGCCCGTGAATCGGTCAAGATTTTTTTTATATTTCAAACGCTCTAATTATTTGAAGTTTATTCAGATCGTTTTGGAACTAGCGAATTACTTAAGAATAATCAATCGAACAACATTATGGGGCAAAAATTTTCGCGCGTGCTCACCATCAAATTGTTCAGAAAAAAAAATTGCATGGGAATAAATGTCATCGATGAGGACGATATTGACAAAATGCAATTGCAACATCATCTCCTCCGAGAATACTGGAAAGGAAACTTTTCAGCACCAGTTAGAGAAATTTTGAGTATCGATGGGACCAAAGTGTTGGACGTCGGGTAAATTAACTAAATCATAATTTGATCATCCCACATTATCTCCTTACTTTTCTTTTTCTACATGTTCCTAAATAAAGATGCGGCCCGGGTACTTGGACGTGCGAGATGAGTTCCGATTTTTCCAAAGCCAATTATACAGCCATAGACATAAACTCGATGTTTCCGATAATCAAACCAAAAAATGTTGAATTTGTCCAATGCGATATACTAAAGGGATTGCCATTTGATGATAATACCTTCGATTATGTATTCTTGAGATTTCTCATTATACATCTCACTGAAATCGAATGGGAGACTATTGTGATACGAGGTATGAAAGAAAGGTGTTTGTCGATCTCTTGGAAAACCATTTTTCATTAATTCTTGTGACTTTTTACAAAGAGCTTTGTAGGGTTTGCAAACCCGGTGGCTGGATTGAAGTAAGCTTAATCAACTGAGTTGGTGCCTCTGAAAATATTTGATTTTCATGATCTTTTCAATTTCTCTCACCCAAATTTAGTTGATGGAACCCATGAATGAATTACGAAACACTGGGCCAGTCACTTCGAAATTATGCGAGAAATGTGAGTGAATTGTTATTTAATTATTGTGTCAAACGAATCTTAACCAGGTATCTAATGTCTGTCCCTCGTCTAAAGTTCATACGAGAATACGAAATCAAAAAAGGAATTTTAGCCGATTCCATGAATTAATGATAGAGAATCACCTGATCAACATTAACCATCAGTGTCGCGAAATGCCATTCGGTCTAAATGATATCAAGAGTGAACTAGGATTAGATATCATGAGAGAGAGGTTGAAAAAACATTTGCAATTTGAACGAGTGTACAAAGGAAAGATTGAAGATATGTTGAACAAGGTCGCAGTGGAGGCAAAGGTGCATAATACATACATAGAAACCCATAGGTTTTGGGGACAGAAGGAATTATCTTCTTACTGATAATGAGAAATAAACTACAGCAAAACTTCTCTAAATTCCCCCTCCGCAAATGCACTCACTATGTTTTACCTCTCTAAATGCACACCCTCTTTAAATGCACGTTTTCTAAAATTTTTCATATGATCCCGTGGGAGTGCATTTAGAGAGGGTTTATGTATATTACTTCCAAAAATTATGTCAGATATCTAAGTTAAACTTCATGAAAATAAAAATATTCATACACCCTAAGGAGTTTTTTTTCATGCACAATTGAATAAGTAGTGAAAGAATAGTTCACTGGTGGTCAGAGTATCATAAAATATTTTATCGGGCCTTTCATTCAGATATACTGTACATCTACAGTAGTAATATTTGCTCAGTCAGAAAACTCTTGTTGACCTCTTCTACACAGTTATGGATAATGTCAAGAACAAATAATTGGAATTTATTTTTTAAATACTGTAGATTTTGCACGGAATATAATAAGGAGAGTTAAGTGTTTACTTAAGAGCATGTTTGTGATTTGGCATGTTTTCTTGATGCTTACTAAATTACACCATTTAATTAATACTTCAAACTCTGCTTTAGTTGCTAAAACTTTTTCATTCCTTCTGGAAGAACTCTGGTTCTTTGGTTTCACGCGACAGAGACTATAAAGATAACACAATAAGAATTAAATTATCAATATGTATTCAAAAAATTCTAAATTCTAAATTACAATTAATAAATTTATCATTTATTATACGTTTAAACAATTAAAGTCAAAATACTTTTTATTATTAAAAAATAAAAATAATTGCTCAAATATCTTTTAATCTATTTTTTTATTGAAATAAAAACAAATACTTATGGAATTTTTTTTTTGTTTTTTTTTTTAGAATAGGAAAGCATTATTTCTTTATTTATTTCATATACAACAAGATATACAGTACATTTATAAAAGAAACAACATTTCTTAGGTGCAAAGCATACAATAAGTTAAATGCTAGCCTACCTACTGCAATTATTTAATCAATATATTAAAAAAGATTTTAAAACAATATACATATGATTAAATAGTGCTAAGTGGCTATACAGTCCTATTTAAAATCTTTTTAAAAATTGTAACTATATTAAAAGTTTTATAAAAATAAAAATGACAATACGAAAAGAATCTTATGTTTAATATAGATGTTGAAAAAAACCTATTTTTCTAATTCTTTAAAACTTGTTACTATATTTTTACTAGTACAATATGGTGCAAAAAAAATGACAATTATATTTTTAGTTATAACTTAATAAATAATTTATAAATATTTATAAACATATAGTAAATATCTTATAAAATAACTTTATTTAGTACCATTTTAATTAATATATTAATATTTTTTTTAAAAAAAATTTATAATCAAAAATTTTTGACTCTTTTTTATATATATAAAAAGTGGTTAGAAAATAGGCAAAAAAAATTTTTTGATTTTTTTAAAATTTAATTTTCTTGTATTAAAAAAATTTCATAAAATCTAACAATATTATATAAATATTTTTAACCATTTTTAATATATATATATATAATTTTTTAATAAATTTATAAATTAAAATTAGAAATAAAAACTTTTTCTGCTGATTCCCTTATCAACCTGAAAAACATATGTTCTTAAAAATATTTTTTTATTTTTGATAATAAAGTCTATATACTTTCCTTAAAAACTTTACTTTCTAAAGACTGGTATCTCTCCTACTTGTTTATCTTTCTATCTTCTAAAAACTTTGTATATTTCAATAAAAAAATAAACAAAACTTTATCCATTTGATTTATAGCAAGAACATCTTACTGAAAAAAAGAAACTTGTCAAAAAAATATCTTCTACCATATTCTCCTTAAGTCTGAAACTCTAGAAAGTGAATTACTAATAAATATATTTTTCAAGCTCTATAAGAACCCTGGATTCACCATAAGCAAATATCTTATGCTTGAAATAGGTGAATAAATTAGTTGAACCTATTAGTGAATATATTTTCCAAGTTTTATAAAAATCTTGAGTTCATTATAAGTTGAAATTTCTGTAATTCAGATAAATAGATAAGTTGGTAGAAGTCTATCTGTTCAAATGTATAATCTTTCTTCATCAGTTATATATATCTGTAATAATATTCTTAAGCATATCAAATTTTTTTTGGTTTTTTTAAAGAATTTTGCCTATCTTAATTTGATCCTGAATTTTTTGTTATATTGAAAACTCTGATTAATAATTGACTAAAATCTTAAACTAGTTAATTAACATGTAAAAGAAATATAAACAAAATACATACTTCTTATATATTCTATGTTATGCTATATTATAACTAATAATATAATTAAATATAACAAAAAAACAAGATATTGAGGTGTTCTCTTGATAAGAAATGGCTTGAAGTCTTCCTTCTCTTCTCTTATACTGGTTTCTTTTCTCTTCAAGATCAAAAAAAATTTTTATTAGACTAATGATTGGTTTAGATGAGTTTTTATTTTACCATACAAACTTTTCTCTTTTTTTTTTATTTTTTTCTTTTTATCTTCTTAAAAAATAAAAATTTTTATACCTTAGAACCACAAAGGTTAAATTAGATTGACAGTTTTAATTAAGGATCCTAATGATTCTGTGTTCAATTCCATTCGATTCCAGCTCTTATAGTAAATTTAATAGGTGGGTTATAACCCACTTATATTTTTTATATGTATGTGAGTCTATGTGAGTCTATGCGATTCCAATTTTCAGAATCATAGTTTTAATAAAGAGCTGGCCATGATATTTAGATAGATAAGGAATATTTTTCTTTAATTAAGCAACTTTTTCATTCCCCTTAATTACATATAGAGATCTTATTAACTGTCAATAAGTATACCATACTGAATTAAGAAGTTTTATCAATAGTATATATATGAATAATACTATATGTATTTTGTAATATCTATACTAAAGTTTATTTAATCTTAAAGTTTGAAACTACTAAACTTGAGCATATGGCCTAATTAGATATAAAAAAAAAATTAATAAAAAAATTAATTAATAAATTAAAATTAGAAATAATAAAATTTTAAAAAAATTTTTTGTAATCTTATTTTTAAATTAAATTTTTTAATAATATTATTAACTTTAAAACAGAATATATTAAAAATTATTATTTTATTTTAAAATTTTTCAATTGGTTTTTTTTTATTATATTTTTAAAAATATATTAATAAAATATTAAATTATAAAAACAATTATTTATTAAATTATTAATTAAAATAAAATTATAAATTTATAGATCTATAGCATAGTAGGTAGTGTTTCTAGGTTTCCAAATACATGTTCCTAATTCAATATCCACAGAAAGCAAATGAACAAAAACTATTCTTTATTTGTGAATTTACCAATTTTTCCACAGATGTTATACCCAAACATCCAGATCTTAATCAAATTTAATTAAACTGTATAAAAATAGAATCTCTGATCTTTTTGATAATCACAAATTGAAAACAGATCGAAGTAGAAAAAATTGCATGAGAAAAGATTTCTAATCTAACTTTAGTAAAAGCCCACAATCCCCTGATATAGCAGACTCTATAATATAAAGAACACATTAGTCTGGGGCTATTCCAATCTGATACTTGCTTAAAAGAAAAGAAACTAATAATAAGGAAAATAAGATGTTACAGATGGTAACAAAGAATACAATATCTTTTTTGAGAATCCAAGTAAAAAATATTGAATGGATTATTCTGATATTCTAAACAATACTGAAAGATATATACTTTAAATAATAAAGCCAGAATTTAAATTAGATTAGATAGTTTAAAACTAGTAATAGAATTTCTATTCTCTAAAGATCCTACTCAGTAAGTCAAATTACTTTCTTGATAATAAAATTTGGTATTACTGAATAAGATTATAAGTGAAAGAGTAAATTAACTTAAATAGATTTTTATAGTTATATACTTGAATATAAATAACTTAAGAATAAAATACATATACTATTAGTACTCTTTATCTGAAAAAAAGAAAAAAATTAAAAATTAAAATAGAATTATAAAAAAATTGTTATTTTTTTTTGCACTATATTATATATAAATTATAGTTGGAAAAATAATTTTTTACTATATAAAAATTTTGATTTTTAATATAAATTTTCAAAAAATTTATATTTTTTATTAAATTTTAAGTTAATTTATTTAATTTTGATTTTATTTTATTTTATTTTATTTTTTTTTTAATCTCTAATTAAACTGCTAGTCATACATTTATTAATTCGATTTGAAAACAATAATACAATATGCAATATGATACTATATTAGTGCTAAACTTTTTCTACATAGCAGAACACCCGTCAACAAGTTATTTTGTGAATTTGTATATAATCCTTGAATCCTTAATATCAAGACCACTGTGTTGCCCACATAATTTAGCTATTCACTAACTATTTTACTATAAGGGAGTAGATTCATTAAGCTATTACTGTATGATATTAACTATCTTAGACTTTCCAAATTCCAACTTTTTAGGTGTAATTGTAGGGAATAATAAAGTTGCTTCTTCTTAAAGTTAAATATCTTTGATCTTTACTCCAGGAGATTAATGCCAGCCTATATTCAGACTGTCACCCCTATACAAACTTGTGGTCCTAAGAGATAAAAGTTTTTATTTTTTCAAGAAATAAAGGGAAGATAAAGGGGAAAGGAAAAGTTTGTCTGATAAATAAAAACCTATCTAAACCAATCACCAGCCTAATGAGAGCCTTCTTTGATCTTAAGGAGAAAGGAAATCAGCACAAGAGGGAAGGAGGAGAACATCAAACCACTTCTTATCAAAAGGACACCTTGACACCTTGCTCTTTCACCATATCCTGTTACGTCATCAGTTTTAATGTAGTACGACATGAAACATGTGGGGAGTACGTGTCTTGTTTACTTTTCTTTTACGTATCGATCAACCAGTCCAGAATTTCAGCCAATCACCAACCAGAGATTCTGGTGTAACAAAAAATTCAGGGTCAAACTGAGATAGGCAAAATTCCCCAGA